CATGGGGCCCACAGTGGCTGGTGAACATAAATTCAGATATAACTCAATTTTTTTCCGCCAATCGTTATCGCAATAGTTTAGACCTTCCTATATTTATGAACGGTATTGTACTCGATGAGTCTCCTACCCTTCATCTTCTAGGATTAACTCTTACTTCTGATCTTTCTTGGAAACCAGATATCAAATCCGTTGCAAAATTAGCATCTCCTTAAGTTGCTTCTCTTTATCGAGCTCGTCACTTTCTTACTCTGGATTCTATTCTCTATCTCTATAAATCTCAAATCCGGCCTTGTATGGAATACTGTTGCCATATCTGGGGCGGATCTTCTAATGATGCCTTTTTTCTTTTAGACAAGGTGCAAAAACGCATTGTAAACATAGTTGGACCTGCTATTGCAGCCAACTTTCAACGTCTGTCACATCGTCGTAATGTTGCTTCTCTTTCTCTTTTCTACAAATACTATAATGGACACTGCTCAAAAGAGCTAACATCTCTTGTGCCATCTACTAAAATTCATTCTCGTGTTTCTCGTCATTCAATTAAGTCTCATCCTTTTTCTGTTACTGTACCTAAGTGCTCCAAAAACTCTTATTCGTCTAGTTTTTTTCCTCGAACATCAATTCTTTGGAATTCGCTTCCTTCATCTTGCTTTCCTGATTCATATATTTTGCAATCTTTCAAGTCGTCTGTCAATCGTTTTCTTGCTCTACAATCTTCATCTTTTCTCTTCCAGTAACTTCCAACACTAATTAGCGGTTGCTTGCATCCTTGTTGAAAGCGAAGATAATTAAAAAAAAAAAAAAAACACTCACTCCCTCCTTTTAAAGCATGACGTTATTTAGAGACGAAAAACGAAAACTAACTTTTTGCATTTACCATTTGATAGCCATATACAATTATTTCAACCTAAAAAAAGTTAGCTGAAGTGGAAATAAATAAAAAGAATTATAAGTGAAAAATCATTGAATATGAAATGTTTTTTTTTAATATAAAAATAAAAAAAAACAATGTGAAAAATAATATGCAAAATAAAAAGTAAATAATGTATAATGTAAATTTAACAATTAGAGTAGTGATTTCAACTAAAGTTGATATTTAGAGTTTTTTTTTATTTCTTACACTTTCTGACTAAAATAAAAAAAAAGATGAAATTATTTAACAAAAAAACAAATTAATAAATAAACAAATATAAACTAATTTTAGGTTTAACACAAAAAAAAATTTAACATATAAGATTTCTTTGAAACCTTTTTTGAGTCAAATGTTATTGCAGTTAAAGAGTTTATTAAAATTATTTATTTTAAATTATTTAATTTAGATAATAAAATTTAAATTATTAAAAACTTTAAACATTAATTTTAACATTAAAAAGATTTAAAAAGAAAAAGTTTAAAAGCAAATAAAAAAAACAAAGTTTATTTAGTAATGTAATAAAAGTGGAAATGTAAAGAAAAGTAAAAAAAAAAAAAAAAAATTACAAGCTTTAAAAATATTTTTATGAGACAAAAATTCATAAAAATCATAACATTAGTCAAAATAATAAATCAGAAAAAATTGGTAAGATAAAAAAAAAAAAAACGATAGTAGTAGTATAATATTTATGGTATACAATAAAAAATTTTTTAATTAGCTTTTTACTTACTCCATTTTTAGACAGCCGAGTAATCCTCAAGCCAAATCATTAAAACATTTTTAAATAAATTTTTTATCGTTTTAATTGATAAAATGAATACACGTTCAACCAATTATTTATTACATAAAATATTTTCGATTGTTGCTTTCTTACGCGCATTGTTATACATCTTACGCGAGCATTTGTTGACATTCTCACAACACGTTCAACAAATTATTCTTTTCATAAAACAGTTTCGATTGTTGATAAAATGCGGTTACAGCAAGGTATTATATCAAAATTGTATTCTTAAAAGGTGTATGTTTGGATAAGCACCTGGGTGTGTCATGCTATTTGGTTTAAAAAAAATTGTTTCACAAAAAATCGGTTTATGGAAAACATAATAATTCAAACTAAAACATTTTTTAATGTCACTTATAATTTAAAGCGTGTGGATGTCAACAAATCCTCGCGTAAATAACGTGAGTTGACATTTTTTTTACGCGAACTTTTGTTGACACGTTCAACGTAGTTAAGGAGAGATCCGGACCCTTTCGTTTTCAAAAAAATCGTTTTCTTTTGTGTGCGGTTTTGACTGGTTTATTTTTTTTAAAGAAATCACGAAGCTCGTTGTTTTGTTTTATTTACAAATATTAGGTGATTTTATTATCTACGAGTTTGAAGTTTTGGCTTAATGCTATGGGGCAGAAGTTATACAAAGAAAGAGATTATGGAAGTAAATTGCTATGAGTGAAAACTAATATGAAAAAGATAAAATAAGACGTTTTAGTCATTTATTAAATATTTTAATGTTGTAAACAAGAAGTCTTAATACTTTCGAATAAAAGAGACATTTTTGGTATGTAATTACTTAACACATTTGTTTCAGCTATTTTTATGACGCTGCTCCAATGCGTTTTATGTCTTTTAGTGGTAGTTTTGTTTTGCTTGATGCTTTGGTTAAATAAAGATTTATAAAAAAAAAAAAATTATATAAGAACTTAAATTCTACTTTTTAAAATTATATTACAGTAATAGTTAAAAATAAGCGGAAAAAAACAAATAACTGAAGTTTAAAAATGTAAACTTTTGTTTTTAAAAAAAGCAAATCATTCGGATCTCTCCTTAACTACGCCCATCGTTTTAAATTATAAGCGACATTAAAAATTGCAAGATTCTTTTGATAATTATCGTCAAAATAAATTTTTATATTATGTTTATATGCCAAAAAGAATTATTTCAATTAAATATACAAGGTATAAATCTTATATCTATTACAATGTCTTAAAAAATTTAGTTAGTAACTTTTTAAATTTTTTTTTCATGTTCTGGTAAATGGTTTAAAATCTGTTAACAGTTACCAATATATTGTAACATGTTACATAAAAATTTTATGTTAATAAAAGTTTTTCAAAATATATTTCAAGGCCGGCGACATAGGGGGTGCAGGAGGCCATGTGCCCCTCTACTTTTTTTCTGAAGGACTTTTTTTTTTTCTTTTTTAAGAAAAATCTTGACACCGGTGAGCGAAAGATACTATGACTCAAAATGAGGGTTTGATTTTTTTAAAAAACGAAGACCGGATATATCACTGAATTAGGAAGAAATGTAGGAGAGTGTTTCTACATTGACTAATTTAGGGATAACATTCAAGGAAACGCTGCTACAGCGACTGAGAGTTCGGTATAGATCAATCGATGTAGCAGCACTCTCCTACATTTCTCCTCAAATCAGTAATATATCTTGTCTTCGTTTTTGAAAAAAAATCGAAACCTCATTTTGAGTCATTGTATCTTTCGCTTACTCTTGACATCGAGGAATTTTTTTACAAATTAATGATTGTGCTTCCCCCCCCCCCCTCTTTACTTCAAAACCCGTTTCGTCGGTCCTGTATTTTATTGAAAATACTGTAAATCCTATTTTATTAAAAATCCATATGAAAAATCTTTTTTTATATTTTTTATTAAAACAGCATTAAACAGAGATTTTAAAGAAAATATTTGATTTTGTATTTTTAAAGTTTTAAAACATTTTATTATAATGTTTTTTGATTATTATAAAACTTAATTATAAAATTTATATTAAATTAATTATAACAGTTATAATTAATATAATATAAATTTTATAATTAAGTTTTATAATAATCAAAAAACATTTTGATAAAATGTTTTACAACTATAAAAATACAAAATCAAATATTTTCTTTAAAAACTCTGCTTCATTTTTAATAAAAAATATAAAATAATAATATTTTTCATTAATTATAATAATTATAAATTAAAAATATATTAAGATTTATTGACAATCATATCTTTTTTAAGTTTACTAGCTGTGTATATAAATTGCAAATTGGTATAACAAAAAAATAAATACAAACTTATTATGAAATGAACTTTATGTTTATGCTTATCAAAAATATAAAACAATATTTATTCACACCAATTATTTTTAATATAACAAAAAATCTATACTAAAATTCACAATCTTGTCTTTAAGGGAAATCAAATCAAACTAGGATTTGCAGCTGAAACAAGATTAGTTTCTTTACAAAAAAAAGATATAATAACAGTTACTGATATTCAAAGTTTACGAAAAGATTGCTTTAACATGTATGTACGACTAATTGAAAAGTTCATGGAGTAAACTCCATTAGGAGTTTCTCCACATGGAGTAAACTCCACATGGAGAAACTCCTAATGGAGTTTACTCTATAAACTCCAAAAGTTCATGGAGTAAACTCCATTCTATCATTGAATGTAACTTTCAGGTTTTTAACCCTAATGGATTGATAACAATGACTCCACAAAACACAGAGGAGTACAAATCATAATATTGAAGTTGCAAACAAAATGATAATCAATGTAAAATCAGCCCATGAAAGATAAAGAATGTACTTAAGTTCAATAACAGGCACTAGATCAAATTAGATAGATAGTAAAATAATTTTATATAGAGAACAGATCTCATATAAAGTTTATATTTTGTTAAAAAATTACTTTGTTCAAAATATCTTTTTAAAAAAATTTTTATTTTATGTTTCTAATAAAAGAATAAAAAATGGAATGAAAGGTTTAAAAAATTCTCATAAAAATATTAAGGGAAAAATGGATTCAGTTGCGAAAGTATTATATCCTTAAAAATATTTATATTATAAATTAATTATACTATTATAAAACTTTTATAATTAAAAAATATTTTATTAAAATGTATTTTAATTATTATAAAAAACAATTTATTAAATGATTTTTAATTGTAAAAATACAAAATCAAATATTGTCTTTAAGTTCAAATCTGTTTAAATTAAACTGTTTATTGCTTTTTTTAATATAAAATATAAAATATGATTTGTAAAATGTTTGTATTTTATTGCTTAGCTGAATTTTTTCAGGTTACAAGTAGGTAGCAACTACTTATGTAGAAAGTGCATAGTTAGAAAGGCCAAGCATAAGATCAAAGTGGATAGATTAACAAGACTTTTGTTGGAAGCACATGAATGTTTTATAATAATTTTAAAAAGTTTTTTTAATTTTTTTAATCTCCTTTGTTGAACCTTTTTTTATTTATAGATTTTGAATATATTTTTGTAACTTTTTTATTGTTGATAAATTTTTTTTATTTAAAACCATGACCAAATCTTCAATCAGATCAACTCTTGTTTTTGATTTTTCCGTGGTAAAAAGGATATAATTTCAAATCAGCATTCTACTTGTCATAGCGCTCTTTTTTTGTAAGTAATTTTTGTTTTTACTTTTCAATTGTTTAGTTTATTTAATTTGTACTTTCAATGTTTCTTTTGATAGGTCACATAAGTTGTGCTAATATTGTCAAATTTCTTGAACTAGACCCTTTGCTAACTGTTACAAGACGCTTTAATTTTAATAAGCCAAACAAAAGAACTCTTGAACAACAAAGTCAGAAAAGTCATAATCTTAAAACTATAGAACCATTATCTCCAGAAACATTTGTAGACATATCTGATAAACACTAAAAGGTTGATAATAAAGATCAAATACGAAAATCATTTGGTAAAGATGTTGATAGTGAGTTTTCAATTTCCTTAGGGGAAGGGAGTACAACTGACTCAAAATTTCAAGTTGTTAATGCTGACAGTGCTCCTATAAAAAATGAAACAAACAAAACTAAAAATAATACATTACAAAACAAAGTGAAATTTCAAAATGAAAAAAGTGAAGTTAATTAAATGAATTTAAACCATGCAATGTTAGATAACTTTCTTACTTTATTTCAGCGATCTGTAATCTTAAAAATGGGTTAGTACGTTTCATTTGAAATCATGTGATTGCAACACTATTTTTTATTTTTATTTAAAAATATTTAATGATTTTTAAAAGGTATTTACAAAATTTAATGAATTTTGCTCATAAAAACACTAATAACAAATCTTCTAAAAATAAATCAGGTAAGAGCTGCTAACAATTGCTTTGAGTATATTGAGTATATGTGGGTGCGAATAAGACTTTAAAATGTATTTAGAAAAATCAAAAATTTTTTTTTTTACAAAAGTGTTAAAAATTTTTTTTTACTTAAGTGTTTAACTTATCTTTAAGGTTTAATTGAAACAATTTAAGGAATAACCCATTTTTCAAATATTTACCTCCACATTTTTTCACACAATTGTTTTTTTTAATTATAGAAAAAATATTGAAAGAAAAAAAAGTGCAAATTATAAGTTTTTTTTTTTTTTTAAATAATTTTATAAAAATTAAAATAAATTTTTTTTAAGCATTTATTTAACCATAAATTATAAAAAATTACATTAATATTTTATAAACTCACATAAATAAGGTAAGGTATCACTTATATGGTTAAAAACTAGTCAATGGAGTGACACCTAGAAAAAAAGAAAAGAAAAAAGAAAACAGAAAAAGAAAAACAAAAAACAAAAAAACAAAAAAAAAACAAACTATAAAAACTGATATTTCATTTTTTTAAGTAGATTTAATGAAAAGAGAGTCAGGGTTTGATGTTTTTAAACACTTATGGAAGTCAGTATGAGATGAATGAATATTTTTTTTGCAATTCTTTAGGGATTGAAATAAAAAAGGAGTTGAAAATTTCTTGTATTGTATTGTTTGAAGATATACAAGATGGATATAAGATATCATTCAAATGTATTTTCAAAAGAGTTCTAAAGAATTAGTTTGTCATGAAGATTTTTTGTTTTAAGGAACTTCTTAAATATATTGTTTCGTTTTTTTTATTGAGGTTAAAATTGCTGAAGTAATCCATGGTTTAATGCTCAGAGTTCAAGCCATGATTACGTTTTTTTAACGGTGTGTGTTTGTCAAGAAGAGAGTTAAAGCTAGTGAAGAAATCTTCATATGATTTATTTGTATTACTGTTGGAAACTTTGATTACTTTATCCCAGTTGATTTACAATTAACCATTTCTAAAATCTTCACTATATAATTTTTTGAAGTTTCAAAGAATAATATTGCTTTTTCAAGAATAAATAATTCTTTTCTTAAAAGATGAATAAATTAGAAACTGTGGCAAATGATTCAATATTCTAATAGTTGCCTGAAAAAATATCTTTAGAAGTTGAATTAGAAAATAATTTATCAATTAAAGTACTTTAGTAATTGGTAATTCTTGTCAGTAAAGAAATAAAAATAATATTCCAAGGCCAAGGCCACATGTTCCAATGACAAGGCCACATAATCCAAGGCCAAGACCACAAGTGAGGTATTCCATGAGAAAGTGGAACAAATTTTTAAGGTTTGTAACTCACTATCTCAGATTTCCTTGATACTTTGTAAAAATGGTCACCTATATAACATAGACTAACTTGCAAAATTTTAGCACTAATATCTAAGGGGTTTTGGAGATACTGTTACTTTAAAATCAGCTACTTTTAGCAGTTTTTTTTGTTCGGTGGCCATTTTGATTTTACTATAGTTTTTGTTTTACAAGTTACTGTTTAACTAAACATGTAATTAAGCTGAAAATTAGCACCTATATAGTTTTTAGGACGAGGAATCGGAATATAATATTTGTTTTTAATGAAAATAACTTGAAGTTTATTAATATTGGGATTGTACTTCACCTATAGCTATTTTTGAAATTTCAACAAAAGCTGAAAAGAGGTCTGGTAACCATTGTAGCATTAATTAAAAATTTTTTTTTTTTTGTTTTTATTAAATTAGATATATTAAAGAGTGTTTTGGTACAAAATTGAGAGGTGGGTTTTCTGAGGATTTTTAAAAATAATTATATGAATTATAATGAAAAAGTACGTTTGGATGATACTTATTAAGAAACTTCTTATTTTAAAAACTTTCATAATAAGAAAAAAAAAACCATTAACAAAAGTTAAAATGAAAAATTCATAATAGATGTAATATATTAAGTCAAAATAATCAAACAAATACAAGTTTTAAATAAAAAACTAGTCAATAAAAAACCAGAACTTGTATCTGAATAATTCATAAATTGCTTCTAAAAGAAAACTGGTGTAATATGATTAAGTTAATTTAAAAATTGTATTTTATGCAAATCATCTGTGTCTATCTGGTATATGGACCCTGATCTTGAAGATGATGGTTTTTTTATCATAATTAAAATATGGGGCTTAGGAACCCAACAACAATCATCTTTATTTGGCCAGTGTAATGTAGTGTTAGGTAAATTAGGATGCATGAATTTTACAAGGGCATCTTCATTTGTTTTATCAACTTCAAATACTAAAACAACTCAGTTAAACATATCATATTTGCAGATATAATATTTTCCTACAATGATTTGAATTGAAGATATTGAATTGAGCCAGTAAGGTTGAATGTTAGATTAAATTCCTCCTGCTCAGAGACTCTTTTGACATTTATGTTTGTTGCATCCTGTGGAATAAATTGGTGGAAACTTCTTGTACCAGGTAAAGTCTTTGCATTATTCAATCGGAGAGTCAGAGATTTACGGACTGATAAAATATCTTTGCCTTTAAAAAAAAAGAAGTGGATGCCAAATATGTTATCTTTTGAAGAATTAAACATTTCTTCAGTGCTCTGAATTTGTAAGTCAATTGGACGTTGATGTCTAGTATTTGAAACAAGTCTTTTAACTGTTCCACCAATGCCATCACATGGTGACTTTCCATGTGATGTTGCAAAGAAATTCCATTCACATTGCATCCCAAAATCTTCAATATGATGACATAAATTTAAAAAATGTTTGCAATTTTTGTACTGACCAGCACAACCATCAGAGAAATAGTGAATTTTTATGGTATTGGAAAACATTTCTTGTACAAATTGGACAGTTCTTTTTACTATACAATAAATAAACCCAACATCGTGTGTTAAGTCATCAGATATAAAACATAGAGATGTTGGTTGACTTTTAGTAGAACCCTCATCATTTTTTTATAAATAACTACAGAATGTAGTGTGCATTGCTGTTGGTTCCAGTGGTAACTCTGGATTCCGTCTTTTATAACAAATTTAAAGTTTTCTGCAAAGCCAACTAAAACAACAATTTCATTTATGGGTATAGATGACTTTAATGTATTTAGATATTTACTTTGTGCTTTAGCAATATAAGAGTGAGATGTTATGCTATCAAGTTTTCCACTAAGACTTTCAATGAATTGACTTATTGTAGATGTGTTACTTAGAAGCTCTGCTCTATCTGTTGTACTCCATTGTTTGTATTCAATTGTTTCATCTTCATCCACTTTGTCATTCTCTTCAAATGATCCTTCATTTTGCAATAGATTTGCAGTCATATAATTTATAATATTTTGAATACCAGGACATTGATTACACCTATGGACCATGCATTCCCTTGACTCTCTGCTACAAACAATCTTCTCAATAAGTTCATGGTAATTCTTCTCCAGTTTAACTGCGGTAAACATAAGCTTTAGATTTTGGTGTTTTGCACATATACAAACAACATGGGTTCCTTTTTGACCAGCATAAATACACCATTTTGGATTTAACTAAGCAAATTTAGATAATCCTATTTTGGATTGAGGGTGTTCTATTTTGAATTCAATAAATAATTTCTTTAAATTGCAAAGAAGTAATCGCTTTGATACATGTTTTTTTTTGGATACACTAACAAAATCTTTTATACCTAGCAACTGCCTACTTATCTGATCATTATAATAGAAGCTTAATAAAAATCATAAAATCATGTACATAAATTCTTGTTCATTTTATTTTTTCAATTTTTTGATAAGCTATAAATAAACACAAAATACACAGACATATTTAATACATTTTAATACATTTATTAAAAATGGAAAAAATATTTACCATTTATAATTAGTATTTTTAAATATGTACAATGTATATTATTTTATGCATTTATTTTTTTAAATTTGATTTTATAACTTTTTTTTCAAATTAATAATTAGCCATGGAGAACAAACAACAGCTGGTAAAACATCAGACTAATCAGACTAAGTCTTAGGGTTTTAAATATTGAGTTTTTCTTCTGTTATAGTCAAAGATGACATAATATGTCATTAATTATAAAGCAAAAATTTATTTAAAAAAGAAATACTTATTTGAATTATGGTTTCTTTAAATAGTAGGTTAAAAGGATTACTTTTGTATAATATTTTTGATAACTAATGAAAATTGTAAATGTCAATTAATTTAAAATAAAATCATGAACACAGACCTATAATACTTATTTTTTCACATAATACTCCTATATTATTACAAAAAATTTCAAAAAAACCACCTCTAAATTTTGCACCAAAAAACTCATTAGAATATCTATTTTATTAAAAACAAAAAAAAAATCACAAACAAATAATGCTACCATAGTTACCAGACCTCCTTTTTGCCTTTGGTAAAATTTCAAAAATATCTGTAGGTGAAGTACAATCGCAATATTATTATAGTTCTAAATATTCTCATTAAAAACAAATATTATATTCTGATTCCTCGTCCTAAAAACTATATAGGTGCTAATTTTCAGCTTAATCACAGGTTTAGTTAAACAGTAACTTGTAAAACAAAAACTATTGTAAAATCAAAACGGCCGCCAAACAGAAAAAACTGCTAAAAATAGCTGATTTTGAAGTAACAATAACTTTAAAACCCCTTTGAAATCAGTACTAAAATTTTGCAAGGTAGTCTATTTTATATAAATGACCATTTTTACAAATTATGAAGAAAATCTGAGATGGTGGGTTACATACCT